GAATGGCTAGAGTGTGCCATTGGAAGAGACGCGTTGCCAGTTTCTCCCCCTTACATTCCAGCTTTAGTGCAATCTCTGTTGAACTCGGGAAAGCCAGGACGTGTCCTAGCACCGCAAGGGATAGAGACGTTCGTGTTGACCGATGCCCTTACCACATCATTCTTTCTGCCTAAACTACACGTGGGGTTTATTGTAATCCAAGAGGATCCCTTTGAAGGGTTAGCAGATGAACTGTATGTCTTAAATTGTTTTCTAAACATCCATATTTGATAGGATTTGTAACATTTATTTATAATTAATTAATATTGTACTGTTCTAATCATACCTTTTATGTTATAATGCAAAGTTATTCTGAGCTGTTTGGAACATTGTGATGCAGTGGGACAGCTATAGCAGTTTCTATAAAAACTAAACCGTAACATTTATATATTGCATCAGGAGTATTTTATTCTCTATATAAATATATATATGGTAAATATCTGTCTGTTTTATAAATATATTCATTTACAGAAAGTATCGTTATGACACTATCTGCCATATTTTTATACATTTGTGATATGAAGTGAGTATTATACTTCTAATAAAAGGAGTTGAATTGTGGCTCCATGTGACTGTAACAGTATGAACCTCGCTCAACTTCTAGGCCCCAGCAGTAGCCTCTAGACATGACTCTCGGTAGCAGACAGAACGCAGCGTCTCTTTCTAAACCTGCAGGGGAAGAAAGTCGGATAGGCCCGTGAGGATCCCCGCAGGCCTTGTGGCCGGCCTCCCTCTCCTGGCTCTCGTCCTTGCTCGTGAGGAGAGAATGGCTTGAGGCATTATTCCTGGGTCTTCATGGCGAGAATGTGCTTCCCACTTAGCACTAGTGCAGAGCGTAGACCAAAGACTTGCCAGGGAACGTTCCTTGCTGTGCGATCAGAAGAGGCACCTGTCTGCAGATTTTGCAAGCCAGCTCTGTGCTCCTGAATGCTGTTCTCTGTCCTGGAGACTCTCGGCTGGGGGCTTGTGAGACACATGTGTGGCATTCTATTTTGAAATGCTTTTTTTGGTTACTGCTCTTTCCAATATATTTAAAAAGCTCCTGAAGCAATTCCAGATGTATAGAAAATCACTGTATCCATTTTTTTTTTCTTCCTGGGACTGTCCATTATAACAAGGTCATCATGCACACCTGTATATACACACAAACACACACACACACACACACACACACACACACACACCCCATCCGAACAGGACTTACCTTTCCCTCATTTGATCTCTTTCAACCCCCAAGTTACTCCTGGGTACCATCGAGGCTTCTGGCCTTCAAGTATTATACTCTATGTCTCTGGGCCATCCTTGACAGAAAGTCACTTTAGCACCATCATCTATCAGTAGGATATTAGATTTTTGGAAGTATTCTCTTAGCAATAATACTTTTCAATGTCCCTCCTCCCCCTCCGAGAGATATCTTCTCAGTATTTATGACTTGTTCTGAATTCTGAGAGTGTCAGCCCCCGAATGAAGTCAGCTATAATTGAAATGTGCTGAGTTACTGTTAACCCTCCCCTGAGATTTTGAGAATCATAGCTCTGATGATGATGACGATTATTATTAAAAAAAAGAGTCTTAGTTTCTTTGAAGCTTAAATCGTGTGCATATTGCATTTTTATATAAATACTATAATGATGTGTATTGATTATATATAGAGGTCATTTTAAGGTGCTTTTTATTTAATTTTAATAAGTGTAATAGACACTAAATTAAAACTCAACTGGGTACTATCATTGAAAGAATCCGAATCAATAGTTTTGCATGCTCTTCGGTTCTTTTTCTATCTGGTTCCTTTCACCAGTTCAGTACTGTTTGGGTAGCTCTGAATTCTGGCTTTTCCCAGGCATCTGCGTGGTTATACAAGGGAGGTGGACTCTCAGCAGTTGTTGCCTGGATTCTAATGACTCTAAAAGGGTGTATATTTAACCCTCCTTTTTCATACTAGATCTGTACCTTGTATGCCCCCTTGCAAACCAGAAACTACATTTTTTTTTCCTCTAGAAAGACTTCTCACTGTGCTGTGCGCTTAGAAACTGCGCAGTCCCATTGCCACGCAGTGGCATTTGAGGCTCATTGTCACCTAGGGGCTGGTTTCCCATGTTGTCATCCTTGCTAACACTGGGATCTCAGATGTTTGCCGAACATCTATATTCATGATGGTTCTTCCAAGAAGGGCTAGAATAACTGCCTTCTACCTAGAGCAAAGTAGACCTAACTGACGAAGAGTTGACGCCGACTTTTCGACTTTTCGCACATTCCCAGATTTGAGCCAGAAAATAGCTACAATGTTTGCAACTAGTGTTTTCGAGGTAGCTTTTATCCTCTTCTCAGCTCTTGTCCTTTCTGACTTTTCACTGATCCTCCGTAAGCGATCAGTGAACTACAATCTGCATTTCTAGCATGGAACTCTCTTCCTGCGCACAGAGGGGGTGGGAACGTGTTCTCGCCAATCTCACAGGCCTTCTCCTAGCTTTCAACTGTGTCTTCTCTGGTCGATGGAGAACTATTGACCTCACCCAGACTGCCATCTCTGATAGAAAGGACTTGAGGTAAAGTCGCCGAAGTTTTCAGTTTCTTTAGGAAGGGGAGTTTATGACATCCACGTTCTGTTATCCACCCCGACTTCCTAAAGGATACCAAGGTTGGAAGATGGCTTAAGAATTAACTTGGTTCTGTGAAAGTATCACAGATCTCCTTTTGAAAAGAAATTCTGCTTCACTGGTTTTCAACTTATACTTCTCTGCCAGTCTTGTTTTTCTTCCCAAAAGTTCTAAACGAACTTTAACTGAAGCTGGTTTAGTTTTGATCTGAAGTTTCTCTTCTCACTAGAGCCCAGTGCCAAAAGGGTGGTTTTGTTTTGTTCTGGTGTGTGTGTGTGGGGTGTGTGTGTGTGTGTGTGTGTTAAGGGGCTCCAGAAAGCTGTCTTGGCAGCAGCAGTTCTCAACCTGGGGTGGTTCCCCCCACCCCAGGATGCATTCGGCAATGTCTGGAGACATTTGGTTTTCACAGCTAGAAGGGGTGGCACGTGCTCCTAGGGTCTGGTGGCTTGAAGCCAGGGATGCTGCCAGCTATCCTACAGTAGACGGGACAGCTCCCTGGAGAACGGTCTAGCCCCAAACCTCTCTAGGACTGAGGTTTACAAGCCCTACCCTCCACCGTTCCGAGCCTACCAGCCTGCAGAGCCTGGCCCTAGCCCTGTTCTTCCCAGGCTACAGAACTACAGACGTGAATTGTTCAACCTCACGTTCTCTGCCACAATCTACTGACAGTATGCTTGAGTCCTTGGGATCCTGTCGTTTGTTTCCATTGTCTTGGAAAAGTGCATACTTTGGGAGGAGACCAGAGTTATTTTATAGCTGTTGAGAACTTAAATTCTAGGTTAGCATCCTTAGAAAATCCTTTATAGAGCCATGAGGCTTATATTTAGAAGCAAGCAACAGCCTGGCAGATTGGCATGAGTTTTACCAACTGCTCAAAGGCATCCATGGCTTTTAGCTGTGTCTCCCAAAAGAAAATATCTCTGTTTTTTATTCAAGTCATTTAATAGCTCTTACAAATATTAGCATATGGCAGACTGATTAGAAGCAAAAATCTATCGGTGGTTGTGATGTGGCTGTTATAGAAGTATTTGTGCTGTATGCCTTGGTTAAGTCTGTTTTAAAACATGCTTTAAGATTTACTGTATGCAGTTGTACTTTAATTCTAAGCTCAGAGCTGTGCCGGTCAGTCTATAGTCACGCCGTATATTATAAAGTGTGCTGTGGTTGTAGAGTTAACCCATTTAGCATGTTCCTAATCTGAAAATGAGTGGACTTCACTAGGAAATGCTATCTCATCTTCCCTTCCCAGTACCTCTTAGTTACTCTCATAGTATCCTTACTTCTTATACTAGTTTGTAGAGTAAATAAGGAAAAAAGCCATTTATTTTCTTCTAGCCATGTATTGAGAATGACTCACAAGTGTACAATTGCTTTCAAAGAGGGTTATTGTTGACGTGTGTGCAAGGATCTGTCCATTTCTGATCACCTAGGTCCTGATGGCGACCACATTCTTTCATTGCTAGAGCTCAACTGGGACCCAGCAAATGTGCATATTCTCTCCTGGTCAGAACCTGCGTTCTGGAGAGCATTGCGTTTATGTCTGGAAGTGTGTTACCGCCTACTTTCCAGTGAGCTGTTGAGCTCCACGTGGGTACCAGGTTCCACAGATGTGTGCTTTTGTGAACTGGGACACACTGAACCGAGTCAGAAAGTTGTGGACTCTTTCCTTGCCTCCTTCAGTTCGTCATTAATAAAGGACGTGGGCAGAGAAAACTTACTTATGGTTTAAAAAAATAATAACAATTCTGGTTACTTTGAAAGGGGCTGCAGAAAAGACAGTACAAATGTTCGAAGTGTCCTGTCACTTATCCCCAGGGCCAGAATCTCACAAGAAGGTCCTCTCAGAGATTTCAAAGGTCAATTCACAACAACTGAACTAGTTAAGCAGGTATGATTTCTTCCTTTTACTTCTTGACCAGCTGAGGTACAGTATATCTTGAGGTCTGGTTCAGCTGATTAAGAATATGACGCCTCTCATCTGTCTGTATACACAGGATATGGGAGGAGTAGGGTGGCTAGGAAACTCTGGGCCTGCTGCCCCATTCGGTTCCCTTTTGTTGTTTTAATTGAATTACTGTACAAGACGGTAGACTTGTGCGAGTCAGTTACTGTGTAAACCGTCATTTCCCATAGTGCTTTGTGACTTCATCAGCGTGCGGCCTGGTCCAGGCCCCACCTCCCTCCTCTCCGGGCACACAGCCAT